AGTGCCTATAGATGTTTCTATAGCAGTAATAATATATTTTTGATGCTATCGCTTATACCTTGGCTTATACTATTCATAGTTAAATAAAATATTTTTGGTGAAATTCTTGTGGTGTTTTATTCTATTTGAAAAAATTATACAGATTTTGTAATAAACTAAAATAGCTAAAATATTATTAAATTAAAAAAAAATTATTTATTGTTTTTATTTTGAATTATTTATTTCGAAATGAATTCAAGAAAAAAAAAACATTTCAAATTAAGCTTTATTTTTAACCTGCTGATTTATTTATTTGAAAATAATACAAGGAAAAACTAGAAAGAAAAAAAGGTGTGTAATGTCTGCTGAATTAATAATTGTTGAACAAATTTCAGTAAATTTGCAGAAAATAACATGGAGAGGTCTTTTTTTTTTTACTAATGCTGAATTACATTGGTATGAGTTCAAGTAAAATAAATTTAACTTATGTAGATATTTATTGCGTTTTGTCAATAAATAAATATTTTAATAAAATAAAATATTTAACGCTTAATTAAAATTTTAATAATATAAAGCAATTCATTGAACTCAAATTTTTCAATGAATAACAGAATTTTTTAAATAACACCATCAATAATTTTCTCGAATGCTTTTTAATTTATTCATATCCATTTTCCATTTATTTAAATATGGGAGTAATTAGAGGTATCGTTTTGTTTATTATTGTATATTGTTGAAATGTTTGTATTCGCATTCACATATGTCGTAAATGATAAAGCCTAAATTAAATATGCTATTTTTTAGCTTGAAAATCTTTCGCTAATTCACAGAATTGCGCGAATAAACAATTAATTTTCTGGCAAAATTTACTCGGAGCATTGCAAATAAAAAATTTAAATTTCGTTATTTAGGCAAAATTTCGTTAACAAGACATTTATTGCGCCCTTACCTTCTATCTTTTTAAGTTCTCTATTCAAATGCAGGGCTGATTGTGCTCCGGAAAAAAATCCGAATTTTTCATTAACTGTGATCCGGAAGTTTCCGGAGATCGAAGGTCCAGACGTTTTTAAAATTCATCGATCACAAAAGTTTCCGGAAATCAAATTTTCAAATGTGCAGAGCTGATTGTGCTCCGGAAAAAATCCGGATTTCCGGATTTTTCGCTAACATTGATCCGGAAGTTTCCGGAGATCGAAGGTCCACACGTTTCAAAAAAATCATTGATCACAGAAGTTTCCGGAAATCAAATTTTCAAAGGTGGAACTTAAAAACACAGTTTATTTTATTTGTTTGTAAGGGAGAGCCAGAGAGATACTTTATAAGCTTATATTCACGATTAATATTCATTTTCTATCAGTAAATAGTTGTTATAATCATAAACTCGAGAGAAAGTCATATTTGTAAATTTTAATTACTTCTCCAGGTCATCATAGGCATGTGTAAATGGTATAGGTATGTGAAAAATTTTAAATATATTTTAAGTAAACTAAGAAATATTGAGAAAAAGAAAGAAAAAAAACATGTTTGAATTTTTTTTCAATTTAAACTGTTTTTTTTTTTTTTTAACTTACGAAATTTTTCGGAATTTTGACTTGGTCTCACAATCACCCCTGAATGTGGAACTTAAAAACACAGTTCATTTTATTTGCTTGTAAGGGAGAGCCAGATACTTTATAAGCTTTATATTCAAGATTAATGTTCATTTTTTTATCAGTAAATAGTTATAATCATAAACGCAAGAAAGAAAGACATATTTGTAAATTTCAATTACTTCTTCAGGTTATCATAGGTATGTGTGAATGGTGTAAGTATGTGCAAAATTTTAAATATATTTTAAGTAAACTAAGAAAGATTGTGAAAAAGGAAGAAAAAAAAACCTTGTTTAAATTTTTATCCATTTAAAATGTTTATTTTTAATCAAGAAATTTTCCGGAATTTTGACTTGGGCTCGCAATAACGTGATAGAGACCTTTTTTACGCAGTATTGTTAGACGCAATGTTTGCTTAACTTCGAGAATAATTCGAATGGAATTAGCGTGAACTACTGAGGAAAACCTTAAAGTATAAAACTGATAATCTGAAATTGATTCCGAAATGGCAAACATAAAAGATCGTTCACTTGAAAAAATAGTGTTTTAGAATCTCATGCTTTCAGACATATTATAATGAGTCGCAATTCTGTTTTGAATTCTGATTTATTACGTAAAAATTATTTAATCAATGTGATTCATTATAGTGAATACATTTTTACGACATGGAATGTTCGAATCACGCATTTCAATAATAACTTATCAACGCTCTCTATACTTTCTTAAATTCGTGTTTCGATTTTTTTCCCTTTGCTGTTACTGCCATTAATTTTTTCATGGTTTTTAAAATTTCTATATTCCAACACGCAAAATTCAATTCGTTCATTTATTAGTCACTTTTTGATGCAACGGTACCGCCGTTTTCGCTACTGATATTTGATCTTATTAATCTCGATATTTTCATACAAATTCATTAAGAAACCAGAAATTCGCATCCCACATTTGAGTGCCTAAATACTTTTCGGCGCACTTGACTTGCGTTAAATTCATGCGTCACTTTTATCTTTTCTTTGCAGTTATTTTTGTTGATTTTCACATAATTTTTTTTCAAATGCCAATATTATTATGATACGGGAAATTTAAATCGCGTTTCTGAGTACTATAAAATGTGATAATTCTATCGATTTTTCAGTCAATTTTTCGGCAGTTATCTATACTGTTTTTCTCATATTTTATAAAATTCTGATATTTTTAATACGACATTATTTATTACAACACATGAATCCCGAAACGTTCATTTAATTAACCCCTTTTTGATGCAACCGATTCAGGTGATTTCGTCATAAATGCACGTGTATTTATCGATAGTTATTTTTTTAAAGTTATTGACAGGAATCTCACTTAAACTTCGATTAACCTAGTTCGTTCGAATTTCGGCTTTTAAAATGGAAAATAATGGAATTTTTTTATTTATTAAAAATTATACCTCATTACAACTTGGTGAAATATATATTTTCAATTATAAATTATGAATTTATTCAAAATATTATCGGACTCCAATTATTTAATGCTTAACATTGTCACAATATAAGACGATTCACCCGGCGTAGCACAGTGGGCCAGCATCCAAGGTTTCTTGGTCAAAATTAGTATTTCGATAAAATTTGTTTCAAAATTTTGGAGTTTTTATGTGCAGGTGATTTGAATTTATAGTTGAAATGCACTAAGGAAACAAAATGGCGACTGAAATATGGCGAGCAAAAAAAAAAAAAAAAAAAAATAATAATAAGTTTAAATAATTAAATATAGCAATGAAAATATAATAATTTTCGTAACTTTATATTAAAAATTAAAAGCAAATTCTATTTCCGATGTAATATTACAAAATAACGCGAAAACATGAAAAAAAAACAAGCATAATTTTTGTTTTTCAGTGTATTTAGTCCACCTTTGCAATATGGGCAAAATGGGGCAGGTTTTTTCGAAAGAAGAAACATCAAAGAAGACAACAAAAAAAAGTTTAGCTAATTACCTCATGGAAATTTTTTGGAACTAAGTTTCGAAAGTCATTCAAACATTGTAAAATGTCAAATGATAAGGTATAAACTATAAGTTTGTCAGGAGTATTAACAAATCCTACAAATTGAAAAAATGTACTATAATTCATCACTAATTTCGCTGATAAAAATGTAACAGTAAGGTGAAATTCCTATATATATTTGTGAAATATAAATATAGAAGTTACATTTAAAAAATTTTTTTAACATATTTTTCACTACATTGTACTCTTGACGGTCCAGAAAGTAAATTATAATGTTTAGAATGATTATGAATACTTAATTTCGGCTCTATTAAAACTGTTTACACATATTTTAGTTGAAAATTTAATTTGACAAATTCTGCTACACTCTATTGTTTCCGGGATAATAAATATTTACAATATAAACATAAACCGAGTTAACTCGGCATAATCAGGTAACAGGTTAATGTATTGGAAGAATTTTTGTTTCATGTTATTTATTGAAAGATGTTCTATTGAACATAATTAGCAAAGTTAAAGTTTGTGAATATTTTTAAAAGTTAAAGTTTAAAAAATATTTATGAACTTAAAAGTTTAAAATTCGGTAACTAAGTTCTGTCGAACAGATTTCGATGAGTAAAATGCGTGTAAAAAATGCATAATTTAAGCGGTTATTATGGAAGTTTCAATTATTTCTAAAGAATTTATTTTCAACAAATGCCTAATCAACAGACTTACTTGTGAAGATCGATTTTTCTTCAATAAGTTATGAATTTTTCTCTAATTTCGAAAGAGAAAAATTTAATTCAACTTAAAATAGTGTAACAGCATGGTACATTTAGTACAATATACTAAATAAAGCAGACGATCGTTAACATTCAAACTATTTTAATGACGTTTCATTACATTTACATAAAAAAAATTTTTTTAATTAATTCTTTAAAATATTTTTAGTCTAAAATGTTTTAAAAAACTATAAATTTCAAAAATAAAAATAACAGAAAATATTTTTTAATGTTTTTGTTTCTGCAAATTATATCACGTGTTTAAAAATTATGAAAAATCAAACGATTTTAAGTAATCTGCAGTTTTCTTAGGTTTTTTCCCTTCACGTTTTCTACTTGAGTTAAAATCGCCAAGCAGTTTTAAATTTCTTAAATTCTTTTGAGTTTACAAATAAGTCAGTATGCTATTACATTTGGTAAGTCGTTCTGTTATATGATAACAAAGAGCTTGAAATCATTTAAAAAGCAACGCTAAAAAATTTGAAATGTTACATTATGAAAGATTATACTAAGTTATCTAAAATTATATATTTAACCTTTAAAACATTAATGTATAATGACTTAATTATTAGTATAGCACGTATCATTTACTTTTATATCAGTATTCTGTAAGTAACGTTCTTTTTGTTATGATTTTTGTAAAGTTGACCTGGATGCACTCCTAATTATGGGAATGACTTAATAAAATTTTCTAGCGAATCATTTATTCTTTTTGCCAACTACAATTCAATAACCTAGTATAAATCATTAGTTTTCTGTTTTACGAACGTTAATCCATCGAATGGTTTGTATAAATTTAAAACAGTTAAAAAGACAAGTTCTTTTCCGTTTTAAGCCCCCTCAAAGTAATTAGCTTGTATTTTTGTATTAATCTTATTCATATACAATTCAAACAATCTAGCAGCAACTTCTCCTCGGAAGAATGTTCTAACTAATGATTCAGAATTTGATCCAGATTCTAGCTTCATAGTCAAGTTATAAAGCATAGTACCGTTCAAATATTCACAAAGTTTTGAGGGATCAAATGGTCGCTTTAATAACGAGTTTAAAGCACCAACACTCCAGATGCATGTTTGCAGTTGACTGTAGTTGTCAATGATACGTTTTACATTTGTCGGTTGGGTACGCTCAGGTTTTTGTAAATATTTATTGAAGTTTTCAGCCACTCGTGTAGGAAGAGTCTCCATGTCTTCTGTTTCTTTCCCATCGGCTGCGTTTTCTCGTAAATTGTTTTCTTTTATTTGATAATATATGATGCAAATCAAAAGCGCAGGCAAAAAGTATTTCGTTGGTTTTGGTTCTGAATTCAAAAGCCAATATATTATGCTTCCAAACAGAAGTTGCAAATTATTTTGAATACCTTGTAAGAAATTTTCATCCACTCCCAACACGGCAGAAAGGAAATCTCTGTAATTGGTTTGGGCTTCATATATATCCGACAACTTCGGTATGTTTTTCTCCAAACCACCAATTTCAAGCTTAGAGCATAATTTTAAGAATACTCTTTGATTTGACCAATCGTGCTCTATAATTTCCCTTAAACAGTTGTTCTTATGAATTTCGAAACTACCCGGTTCGTGCTGTGACAGTATGCTATAAGTTATTTTTCTGATGTAACGAGAGCAAGAATAGCTGCTAGAATTAGGTTTAGAAAATGCTTCAATTTGAGCATGCAGGAAACTTTCATGTGTAGTAATAATATTTAATAGCGTAGACGAGATACAACCTTTATGAAAAGCAACAACTAATTCCTTAGGCAAGGTTTTCTTGTTTGTGGTACTACAATTTGTTTTAATTTTACTTTTTTCAAAAATTCTCTCACTGTCATTGGAAATTATTCCTTCTAAAATACTGCTCAATCGTTCTCCTTCGGCCAGCTGAAACTCATAATTCTTAATAACATATTCGATTTTGTTTTTTATGCTTTTATTCCCTTTGTAAATTTTGAGCACTTCATTATTACTCTGAGCAAATGTTTTATTTTTAAGCCATATAAGCACATCATTAAATCTATGGTCTTTGCTCCAGTTTTTAATTCTATAGAAATATTTAAAATATGTGAAATTTGCATAATCGTTTCCCACTAAAGCAGCAAACAATGATAGGTTTCTTTTATCTTTTATAAAATACTTATTTTGAAATTTTACCACTTTATAAATTTTACACATCATCGTGTTGGTTTTAATTTCTTCCTCTACTTTTAGAGCGTCATCAAGGTGTGAGAACCTTATGATACCATACGGTAAGTCGTATATGTAAAAATCGCTGTCTTCAGCAAGAACAGGGCATTTGTAATGAGTAGCGAAGGCTGCTATCTTTTCATCACCGCCGTAATCGCACTGGACATGGGCTATCCTTTTCTCCAAAAGAATATCTTTGAAAACTTCGTAATGGTTGATGGGAGTAAAGGAAGAATGAATTTTTTTATTTAAGTAATTGTTAATATGATTCAGTCGGGTTTTATGTCGTTGCATATGCTTTTCAGACTCGTCAGCTGAGTTTCCGTAGCAGCCATTAAAAACAACAATTGGTGTAATTTTGAATTTCATAAGAGTTTCAAAGTATTTTCTTACAACTGTGGCATACCTAAAAAATACAAAATCTTGTTACTTTTCATGTAAAGGGCTACATTATCAAAAGAATTACTCAATTATCGAAAAAAAATATTGCTTACATTATAATTTTAAACATTTCTAAAATGTAACAAACTTCGTCTTCCTATATGGATTATTTAAAAAGTTTTAAGCGGTTATGAACATAAAATAGATGACCTACTAGAAAAACAAGTCTTTTATTTGAATCCTTAAAGATTTGTTTCGATTGAAGATAGATCTTTAAAGTGAACTTTTTTTACAGCTACTATTTAGTAAAACTGCCCACTGAGTAAGTGTTTTAAAAATGATTACATTTTTTATGTTATATAATCGATATATGTTGACTTTTTCATTGGTTTTACATAAAAATAACCATAAAAATATTCTAATTGGCACCAAAACAAACGCATAAATGCATAGATTTTTTTAGCGAAGAACAATAATAGCATTAACCAATAAATAATTAAAATAAAAAATGAGTTAGACATTTAAGAATAGCATTTTTTTAAATTTAGAGAATTTTTAAATATGTTCAAACTTTTAAAAAATGAGCAATATTTTTAATATTTGAAAGCAAACGATTGACTGCCTATTAAGTGTGCATTTAAAGCAATATGAGCCTGGCCTGGTTCGGGCCGCAAATGTACTTTCAGCCAAGGAAATAAATTTGCTATAACCAAAGTGAAATAATTTTAATGCATAAAAATAAACAGAACTTTTAACACTTTCATTTATTTATTAATTGAGAAATGAACAATGACATATTCAATTCAACAAACTTTGCCAAATATTAAATATAAATGTATTGAAATTTTTTTAAACTTTTTTTGTGAAATTCGAAAAAGTAAGGAAAAAAAGTCGTAAACTTTGTTTAATAAAGTATATATAAGGATGTAAATTCATTTGCTTCGGTAAAAAAAAAAGTAAATTATTTTGTTACTATTTTCACATTATTTTAATTCTTAAACCAATATATTACTGATTTGACGATTTTATGCTTATTTATTCGATTGAGTACATAAAACTATTATTGAACTATTTGATAAATGAAAATAAAAATAATATATTTCTTTGCAGATTAGCTGAAGACACATGTGATTTTTTTTACTATACTACAAACTGAATAACAAATAATGAGGTGATCGGCAAATATCGTTAAATACCGAATGAAAAATAGAATATTCTAGAAGGCATTGAGCCCACTTATAAAAATAGTCCTAAATTTTTTGAAATAAAAAAAAGAATATTTAGCGTGCTTTTTTGTACATACTTCTTCATATATTGGTGATTCTTTTCAAACATGACATTTCGAACCAAAAATTTTTTTTCAAATTTAAAGTCTTCAAAATAATCGAAATTTTTTTTCGTATACTTTTTTAGTTACATTTATTAATATCTTACAGACAGCAGTGTAGTTTACTGACATTTGCTCGAGAAAAAAAAATAGAAATTCACCAAATCTTGAATGCCATATTAGCTTAGAACAGTGGTTCCCAACCTTTTGTGGACCATCGCCCCCCTCTTTGGGTTGGCTGACACAAATCGCCCCTTTCTCTTTTTGCTCAAAAAACCATTCATTGTTGCTTGTGAGCAACCAAACACTGAATATATACAATGTTAATTGATTTTAATTTAAATTGTAATGCAAATAAGGAGGCACATTTATCCTGTCATTTTTATTAATTAAAAAAAAATGAGCATCTTTTTTTTTCTCAAAAAGAAATGATATTTAAAACGGAATAGTCACAACAAAAGTGCATTTTTTTTAATTCATATTTTAATGTAATCAAGAAAAAGTTAAAACGTTAACAACTAAAATTTGAGAAAAAAAATGAAGATTGAGAAAGTACATTTTTACCACTTCAATGACTGCCTGTGCTTGGCGTATTTCAAGTTAAAGCTTGAATGTCAGGTTTTATGCTCCTCAGATTTAAACGCGGGTCTCCTTTGAAGCAAATGTCCAACCTTTCTCTTTGCATTATGAGCAGCTGGAAGACAGAACTAAATCCTGTCTCTACTAAATATGTTGACGGGAACGAGATAAGAAGCGACTCAGTTTGTTTCCACAATTGTGGATAAGTGTCCATAAGCTTTACCCAAGCTAACTTATAACCGCATTTTTTAAAGATGACTTTAGCCTGACAGTCATACTTCAAATCTAAAATCTCAGTCTACAAAGAGGAAGTGAGCTTATCCACAACTTCAAATGAGAAAGAATCGAAAATCCAATCCGGAATTTCTAATTTCATTAAATCTTTAAATCTTGATTCCATAACTGATCAAGGTGATCAGTAAAAATTAAGATTTTATTTTCGAGAATCTCGATATCTGCCATTGAACACTTTTTAAGAGTTGGAAATTGCATTAGCTCTTTGCGACCAATGTTTGACTTGTAGATATCAAACTTGGCGATNAAAAATATATATAATTAAAAATTCATAACTAGTGCTAGTTAATAAAAAGTTGTAAGAATGAATTTTTAATTGAATGAATTGGAAGATTTTCTTTCTAATTAATTTTGCAGGTCTTTGTAAAGACTTTTTATTTCAAGCAATGTTGATATTATTTTAAAGTAATAATTAGATTTGTTTTGTTTTTAAGTTTGCTCACAACATTACTGAAAACATCTAATTATAAAAATGTTTAAAAAAACTGCGTTAAAATAAAAATAAAAATTAATAATAGTAATTCTGTTTCAATTTTCCATTACTTCATATTATTTAAATTTCTTAACATCTTAATAAAGAGTAAATATTGAAAAAGTTGCAGTCTTGATAAGAAAGATAAGTAAGTAATATTTGAAAATTTTTGCACAATAAAAAATCTATTTATTTTTTAAGAAATAATGTAAAAAATTCATAGCGTATTTTAAACATGTGTAAATAATAAAAATGAAACATTTTAAAACTACGTTTTTAAAATCGATCAAAAAGGAGATGTTTTCATTTTTTTGTCAAACCTTAAACGAAATACATAAGGCACATATGCAAGGATGTGGTGTTTATTTCATAACAGATATTCCTAACGTTAAATTTATTACGGTTACGAAATTTTATTTCCACACTTTCTGTATTGCAATCATATAAAAAGAATTATTAGGAAAAAATAGTGGTACAGTTCCAAAAAAAAAATTAAGCACCCTTCATAACTTTTGATCTAATTATTGGATTTACACGTATTACGACTTTATCTTAATGGTTCGAGAGCCTAATTTCAAATATGTTAATTAACTAGCTGATTAAAAACGATACTTCAAACTACGAAATCAGACACAAAAACGTACTTTCACTGCAACAAACTATCCCTTTATTTCGACGGATTCGAACTCATGGCCCTCAAAATATGTAGGGGGTAGTCGGAATCTAAAAATATTGTCTCAATAGTTCGACCTAGATAATATAAATTTTATTTTTATTATTTTTGACTATCTCGTTTAATTATGATCGAAAATCTATTCAATAAGGTATAAAAACTTTTACACAATTTTAAAGAATGTAATTTTAAATAGCAATGTACAAAATTTGAACGAAATCAATCGAATAGTATTTGAAAAACTAAATTTTAAGTAAATGACCTTTTTAAAATTTGATAATTACTGAAAAATTCTAGATCAAATTACCGTATAAAGTGCCGGCAATTTGGGTGTATCATCTGTAATATCACCGTGAAATATCATAAAGTAGTTTTTACAATTATATTTATTTAATGAGAGTGTTTCAGTAAATTTACAGTAATTATTACTGTAAACTGTAAGTATCGATATTATTGTTTACTGTTAAAGTATTTTTATTTAAGCATTTATCTTTAAAGGCCTCAAAAGCATTATTAATTTTAATCCTATAATCTCACACTGTGAAATAAAGTATGGTCAAAACTACCAGAATATGGTAACGTTTGCAGAGCTTTCTGGCTCTGTGGGAACAACAAAAATAAACACGGTAAATTTTACAGAAGCGTTTTTTTTAATGATTTGGTAAAAATAACATTAAAACAGCTTTACAATATGTGATAAAATTTGATAAATGGTTTTAAATTTGGTAGTTTTAGCCATTTAGGTATGATACCTTAGATCAGGGGTCCCCAACCTTTCTGTACCTAAGAGCAAATACCAGAATATCGGTCGAATGGCGGGCACCATTTATTTTTTTAAGATAATTTTTTGGCTGGTAGACATAGGTAATAATACACACTACATGTAATGCACAAAAAATTTAATTTTAAAAATTAATTTAATTTATGAATAATTAGTAGTAATATTCTTCTGTAAAATAAATGATTACTAAATTACTTGCAAAGCATACGAAGCATAAAAATTATTTATAAAATATATAAAATACAGTCAATGTGATCTTTGTCATTGCATTTCACTGGCCAACGCTTCAGAATTGGGAGAATATGACGAAATTCCTGCTCGCAAGCAATCGTCAAGGTGTTCATCTGTAAGTCGTCGTGATCTATATTTCGATTTTATGATATTCATTGTCGAAAGCAATGATTCACACAAGTATATGTGGAACCAAAAAAAGATTTTATTTCATAAGCTGCTCTTTTTAAGAATGAAAATTTATTTCTGTATTCCAGAATTTCTCGTTTTTCAGATTCAGATATAATAGTTTTGAGGATAATGTCATTCTGAAGATCAAAAATTCTATCTTCACTTTTTCTCGCCTTGAAGAAATTCCGAAATGAATGTTGCTATTTCGGTTACGTTTATTTGGTTGGTAAAAGGATTTACAAAAAAGTTAACCATAAGCTCGATGATATTAAATTGTTGAAAGCGCTTTTCAAATTGATCTTGAAGCAATTGGAGGTTGATTACAAATGTTGATAATTCAATTTAACTGTTGTGTATCATCTTTTTTCCATGTTTGGAAAATGCACAAGAGACTTCATTTTCAAATGTGATATCCACAAAACTAGCCTGACTTTGAGCGAGTTTATAGCCCCTATCATTGTTGCTATATGTTTGTCCTTCCCTGCAGCTCCAACTTAAAATTATTTAGTTTTTCCATTATGTCTGTTACGAAAGACAAATCTACTAGCCAAAGAGGATCTCTAAGTTCTAAAAATATTTGATTTTTGACAGCAAGTTAATTTTTTATTTCTTCAATTAAATGTATAAATCTAACAATATATCTGCGGGGATGGATCTCGTTTTCCCTGGTGATTTCTATTTTGGTTGAGTTTATCATCAATATTGAAAAAGCAAAAGAATTTGCATAGCATTTTATGGGAAAAAAGAAATATTTTATCGTTTGGGCACTAGCAGCGGGCGCACCTTGATCGATCAACGGGCGCCATGGTGCCCGCGGGCATAGGGTTGGAGACAATCAAATGAATGATTTAAATAACGTATATTTTGGTTTTCATACGAGAACTATAAATTTTTTTTAAAACAAAGATGGTATTGCATTTCATACAGTACTGTAATTTTACCAGAAAATTTTTTTCTGTGGAAAATTTTTAGAATTCTATTATTTCGAAACTAATTTGAAATTTCGAAAAAAAGATAACTATTTTTTTTATCTTCAGCCATAAATACAAAACGACTAGAAATGACTTTTACTGCACTAAGTTTTTTTAAGAATTCGTAAAATAGGTAGTCAACATCGGTAGTCAAGCATAACAATTTAATAGAAATAAAAAGGATAGAAGGATATAGCAGTTAACATTATTGACATGACTCGTGAGAGCTGCCTTCTCGCAGTAGCCTCCGGAATGCATGTGACTAAGAATTAGATTGTTCTATGGTATAAAGTCAGGAGTTAATTATAAATTCGGGAGTTTCCCATCGGGACTTCCTCTTCGGGACTGGATGGCGCCTCTCTACTAGGAAGTAGTATCACATGATTTCTTCTCAATATTACATGATAAAGAATGATGCAACTATCTTAAAGTATCATATTACGTGATATTGGATGACGCAATGTTCGCAGCTGTTATATTGAAACCTACATAATTTTTTTTCTCATCAAAAAAGTCAGATATTTAAATTTTGATTTATAAGGAACTATTCAACCGATTTTGCACGAATTTTGTATTTTTCCATTTAAAATTATATAGTCTAAAATGATGCAAAAATTTTCATACCTTACATTACAAAATTTTTTAGACCATTATTAAATAAAATAATAATCAAAAAAATTTCTACAAATTTTTTTTGTATGGAATTACCTTTGGAAAATAGAATTTTATAATCATGAGAAAATTTTTTAAATTATTATAAAATGTTATTTTGAGATTGGGAAATAAGCAAAAATTAACGTTAAGGGGTCCAAACTATGGACCTTTTTTAATTTCATTAATTCTAGAATTCATTTTTTAAATTACGCTTTTCTAATTTTTTAAAACATTAGAATATCGTATTTCCTCAGTTCCATAATACAAACATTTCTTAACAATGTTTCAAACAATTCTGAATATACTCACTGGCTATAATCTCCTCCAAATTCGTAAGGAATGTTTCTTTTGAAATACAGAAGATAGACAAGTCCGCATCCATCAATAATGATATTTTTATTGTAAATATTAAAATCTTCGTAAATTCCGATTCGCTTGTCCTCATCGTCCATAAATTTGTTAAATCCCTTGATGCCCATTGCAGTATTGTTTCTTGACGAACTGGCTGATTTGTCGTTTGAAAGGGATTTATGTTGTGAATATTATCACCGGAATACATTATCACAGAACTTTTTCGTTTGAATAACAGTCAAAGTAGATAATGAAAAAGGGTTTAAAAAAAATAACAATCAAATTTATCGGCGAGATTTGCATTTCTTTTTCCGCTTTAAAGAGTTTACAAATAATAAGATCAGCCTCATTAAAGTAACGAAATTGAGCGATAAAATTAATAATTTTTTATTATTGTGTAGAAAACCATCGAATAAAATACTCAAGCCTATTAAGTAACTTTTCAAAAACTACTGCATGCTTTTAAACATGTATACGGGGACATGTTGTTTTTTTCTTTTACAGACAGAATTATCAACAAGATTGTTCGCTTTAGTAGACGAAGAAATGATATGAAGTGCCAATCATCCTGATTTTAAAATAACAATAAGGTGGTAATACTACAAAACTATTTACTAGTTTGCGGACCAAAGTGCACGTTTGTACCCAAAAAAGAGTGATGAGTTAACAATCGAAAATATTTGTTTAAAATTCTAATCAACCTAAAGATAAATGCAAAAAGTACTCTCCTCAGAATTAGTTCAAAAGATATTTTTTTTCTGCGAAAATGAGTACTGTTAAACATTTTTTTTTATCATCAACGTTGAGCAAATTATCTGTGTATTTTGTTCTTACTCTATATCAAAAATTATGAGTCTAACTGTCTTTATTTATTAGGGATATTTTAAAAATTTGCGTTAGTTTCGTGCAACTGCTGTTGAATATTTTTTTCTCTTTAAGCTTTTATTTGAGTTAACAACATTGGCATGATACGCATAGTTATGTATGTTACACTGGCATGACATTTTATAATTTATTACAAAATGTTAAAATGAATTGTTTGATATTGCAACAATTAGTTGATTTTTAAAAAATAAATTTTATAGCTTTTAGTTTAAACTTATGTAAATGCAATGAGGTACATACGAAACTAATTATTTTTTCATTACTTAAAATTACAGTGTATGTTCATTTTAATTATACAATTTAGTAGGACGAAGTAATAACTTTCATAATACCCACGTCTATTCTGAATGCTTGTTTTGATTTTAAGACCGAAGTTAAGATGATATTCCACTACATTAGCATTTTTAACTTACAGGGTTTTGCAAAATCTCTTATTTTCATTCAGGTAAGTTTGATAAGTTCAGGTAAGTTCAGGTCAAGTAAGTTGAGGCTATAACAAAAAAAACGACGCACCAAGAAGCAATAATCTGATTACAGTGCCGAGCCAGATTACAGTAGTGCATGGCTCGATCAGGCTGGAATGATGCCGACTGGGGACGTATAGTCTTTAGCGACGAATCCCGCTTCCAACTGTGTCCTGACGATCACCGAAGACGTGTTTGGAGGCGCACAGGGCAGAGGGGGGATCCTGCCTTCACTATTGCACGCCACACCGGCCCTCAACAAAGCATTATGATTTGGGGTGCCATTTCCTTTGACAGCCGGACTCCTTTGATCGTCATTAGAGGTATACTTACTGCACAGCGGTACGTCGACGACATCCTATGACCTGTTTTGCTACCGTTCCTTTTGCAGCACCCTGGGCTGGTTTTTCAGCAGGCCAATGCCAGACCACATACAGCACGTGTTTCTATGAACTGTCTGCAAGCTTGTCAAACTCTTCCTTGTCCTGGCAGATCACCAGATCTCTCTCCCATCGAGCATGTCTGGGATATGATGGGAAGGCGATTGCATCTGGCACGGAATGTTCATGACCTCGTTCGACAATTGGATCGATTAACAGGAAATACCGCAAGAGACCACCCGGGAGCTTTATAGTTCCATGCCACGCCGTGTGGCAGCTTGTATCCAGGCTAGAGGCGGGTCAACCCCTTATTGAACTTGTTACTGTAACTCTGCGATAAATTATTCAATTGTTCTGAAATTTTAATCATTTACTATTCTGTAAATTGTTTTCCTATCCACCAATTTTCGTTTTAATCGGACAACTCCTTCTTGGTGCTTCGATTTTTTTGTTATCGAGTGTTCTGCAGCCATTTATTCACGGGTTCATGTGCATTTCACCCGAATTCAGGCGTACGCACTTATTATACAAATCTTACGTACGGGGGTATACGGAATGTTACGTAAAAGTGCGAAATCACCCTATTGTAATGTTTTTCATCAGTGAATTTAATTTAAAAATGAAAATCTTAAGTTTTGTTTTTTTGTGAATTTTTTTAACAGTTTTGATTTTAAACCGTAAAAGCTAACTTCAATTGCAAATAATATCATGCTGATGGTAACACTTAATTCCGCAGTTGCAGCTGACGATATTTACCTTAACTGTCAGGCGCATTACCTCTTTTAATAACTTAGGAGTTTCGTTCTCCAAGTTATTAAAAGTAGATTCCATTTGTTATTTATACTTCATCCAAAAATTTGAAGTACTTCTTATCACCTCCTGGTCAACAGAAATATTGTGAGACTATATGAGTGTGTTCAGTATTATTCTGTCGTTCTTTTCTTAATTAAACTAAAAATTGTGATTCCATTTTATTTACAATTTATTTATTTTATTGAAATTACATACATTTGCTGACTTGTCTGCTCAATATAGGCTTATAAGTCATTGTCAAGTAGAAAATACAGATAGAACAATTCAGAGAAAGACATCACAAGGAATACATCCAGGGTTACGGCGGGATTCGAACCCGCTACCTCCACGCTTAACAGAGCGTTTGGACTAGCGATACCGCTCGGCCAGGGAGGCCCCTTTATTTACAAAAGACATAATATGTTTTGTTTACACAAGTTGTTGCATCATATCGTTATAGCAACCTGAAATCTACATAATTTTCTTTTCTTAAATAAAACGTGACGATTTCTAGCTTATAGCTCACACACATTTAAATATTAAATGAATGTGATCTAGTTTAACACAAGTAATGTCTAATTATGACAAGAATGCTTCTCTAACGGCAGATACTGAACTCTCGTTTTTCACCTTGGAAGATGCCGGAAGTGTTGCTCATCTAACGTTACCCAGTGGAACGTTACAAGTGTGAACCTAAGTCACGGAGGTGAGCAACATTACCCACGCCACACTGCTACTAATACCCGTTCATTGGGTGGGCCACATGCACACAACACATAGGGTGAAACATCCATGCCCAGAGCGGGATTCGAACCCGCAGTCACTGGCTTCGCAGTCAGGCACGCTAATTGCTCGGCCACCTGAATCAGCCATCGGAATAGATATGCGGAAAAATTTCCGAGATGTTGGCGAGCGACAGCTAGCAGAAGGTAACAAACAGATCACCATAGTAAAATTTTTAATTTCTTTTTGTGATTAACGCTGTAGATTTTTCATTCATTTATAATTCTTTTATAGATATTAAATATAAGGTAGCATGTCCGAACTAATTTATGGATCTTCACTGTTCATAATTATTTCCTGGGGATATATTTATTTTGGTTTCAATGTGCCCTATATTGCATATTTATAGATTAATGAATATTTAAACTTTGGATTGTAGTAATTCAAGGTTAAATGATTTAGAAACTAATTGACAACATGGGTTTCAAAAACTTTGATTGACTTTATGATTATTTACTATATTTTATGATTGGGTAAAATATAAATGAGTGTCCACACGGCATTGAATACCTGATTTAAACTGTCCTGGCCTTACACTGAGAAAATAAAGTACGATCAAAACTACCAGAATATGGTAAAATTACCTTGTTTCTGGCTCTATAAGAACATAAAAGTACTCAGTAAATTTTTCTAAAGCGCTTTTGTTATGATTTTTGTAAATTTAATAATGAAATAAGGTTTTATAATATGTGATACATTTGAAAATTCCCACCCATAAATTTAAAATGTGGTAAATGTTGGTAAGTTTATCATGATACTTCAGACCATGGCATCAAAACCGTTTATTTATTAAATTTATTTTTTAGTTTTGTATTTTTTACGACATGTGTGATAATGAAAACAATAATTTAAAAAACCAGTAAATCGTTGCCCGTAATCGTTTCCCGTAAATCGTTGCGATACAAAGGGAAAAATATCCAAATGAATGGTTTAAATAACGTATATTTTGGTTTCAAAATTATGGTTTCCTTACTAGAAATTTTATTACTGTATAGTAGGGTCAGATGAGGGTAAAGTGGGTATAAAATCTAGCTTTTTTTAAAAAAAGGCTCTAAAGCAAAAGCATAAAATTTACTTTACTGAAGTTTTTGATGCATTATATATACATTTTATTCATATACATTAAATATGAAGCTATTTTTTCCATTGTATTCTTACAGTAAAGTATACAAAATAACATGTGCTGATATGCTCACTTTACCTATAGAGAGCATATATGTAGTATGTGGGTATGGATCTAAAATTAGTATATATTTCAATGTAAATATTGTTTTAGAAATAAAAATGCTCTTAAATTAATGTATCACGATTATTTTTAAAAAAATAAGTACTAAAAATAATCTTTTCTTTCATATTAAATTAAGAGGTAATGTTCATGGCTATCAAAATTAGGTTTCACTTCGAAAGCAGTGCTGAACTCTACACAATTTCATCAAAAAACAAAAAAACTGCAGAAATGTTTTGGTTTATTTGAAATACTAATAAGAGTGTAAAAATTAATGCCTATAGTGGTAATGTAAAGTGTCTTTACTATTTATAGGAGAAATTTTTTTAAAAATTATATTTAGTTATTTTGAGAAAACTGTTTTGTTTTCAACGAAAAAACTGCCATATGAATGCAGAAACTTGCATTAAAATTCATCAATATCTTTAAATATGCTCTCTAATTTGTACCATTATGCTATTTTGGTAGTTTTTTTCATACTATAATATGTCTGTTATATTGTTATTACCCCCCCCCCACACTATCAATTTTTAAAAAAAAAATATAAAATTTAGAAGAAATTTTGTTTTTAGTGTTAAAATTACTATGCCGGGCAACCAAACAAGTAAATTATTTTTTTTTTGCGATTTTGTAATAAAATATAGAGTATTAGATACTTACTAAAGCTAACACAGAATTAAAATTTAAAATCTCTATCACACAACATTTAGCCCTATCTTATACCCACTTTACCCCATCTCAGAAAACAATTCAAGTTAAATAGAATTTTGAAATTTATTCCTAAGTATTTATGTAGATATGTTCTTTAGATGACTCCCTACCAATCTGAACTAAAATTAATAGTTTTTGCGAGTTTTTAATGATATTAGAAGAAAGCTCATCAACAGCTTAAACTAACACGCTGTTTAAGTTGATCATAAACAGTTAGTTTGTAAAC